TTTTTTTTCCTGTGATTTACTTGCAGCATGATTCTTGCCCTGTTTGCCGCCTGAGTCTCAGTAACACCCAGACAAGAGGGTCATGAAACCATCATTCAAGTACATTGATTTCCTAAAGAACACTAAAGCTGATTTGTTCTGGAAACTGTAGAAAAACTTAAACTCTTTAGGTTGCATAAAGATCTAAGTTATTGAGTGTGTTTCATGATAAAGGAAAATGTGGGTTGCTGTGAATAATTATTAGTTATCAACAATATTGTACTTTAGATTGAAAACTATGTAATTTTCAGTGGAGATATTTCTTTGATTATCACAATTTCTGCTTTTGTTTGTAACTGAGTGTAAATAAAGAAAAGAAAATTAGTGATTAGAAATAACTTCTGGTATCTCTGAAAATAGCACTATGTATAATGTACATTGTCTTTTTTGATATTGACCTTCTAAAACATGTAAGAATATAAGTTTGTTGTTTCAGATGTTCCTTACAGAAGGCAAGCTGTTTGGCAGAAAAGCTTTTTTCAGTTTGGCCTCAACATTTAAATATTTTCTCTCCAAGGAAGTTATGGCGTGACTTAGATCCATCAAAATAATTATACTGCTTGTAAAATCAGCACTTGTTGAAACAAAATGATTACAAGAACTTTCTATCCCTGTAGTTATTGTGTTAAACAAGGGTTATTTTTTACAATTCATTTTTAAGTACTACAAGTATATTACAATTTATTAACACTTTCGACAAATTCTGGAGAACAAACATTGCAGTTTGGTGCTCCAAGAAGTTAATTACTTGCTACGGAAATGTTGTGTTAAAGTCAGACAGGATTGAAAGGCTTACTAGTTTAAATATAATTATAAAATCATTATACAACCCTAGTGAGTTGACTACTGTCTGATAAGATTGGTTTGTAAAAGTGGGTATATAGCACTAATGTGCTTGAGTGAAACATACACATGGCCCTTAAGACATTAGTCCAGCATGGTATGGCTGCATAACACTTCAAATGTTTGGAGAAAGAAGGAAGCAAATGATTTATTGGAGAAATGCCTTTTTTTGCAGCTACTCAGAAGAGAAAGAAGTAATGTTCCCAGTGACCTCAATTTATTATGAGTTATTTATCAAATATTCATCACCATTCTCTTGGCTTTGGTAAATAAAAATTGACTCCAGATTTTCGTTTTGTTGAGCTGTTTCAACTTAGTCTTTGGCTTCCACCACTAACAAATTCCCTTAACAAGGAGTGTTCCTCAAATTTCAGAAACCTAAAGTTGCGTGGAGTTACACTGTTGGACATAATGTTGGCACCTTGGTGGAAGCATGAAAAAAAAACAAAAAAACTGTTTTAATTTCCCACTTAACATATTCGCTTAATAAGGACACCTGGGTATTGTGGAGAGTAGCTTTGGTCTTTCCCTCATAACACACTTTATT